GCGGTCGCGGCGGGATAGGATGGGGTGGGGGTGGGGGTTAGGCCCAATACAGGAGAGTCCTAAAGCATGGTGGAGAAAGGGACGAGCGGCTCCGCAGGCGAGCGATCGGAAGCCAAGAATAGGGGCAGGGGCCGCGGTGGGGCTCTGGCCACCTCAGAAATCCGCCGGGATCCTGGAGCGAGGCCTGTCCTTTGCAGAGCTAGGGACGCACGGCACACGATGGCGGCTGCAGTGCTGGCGAAGGTTTGGGCCCCGCCTGGGCCCCCTGAAGGGGTCTAGGCGCAGAGGAGGGGGCGTGCCTCTGCAGGAGGCAGGCGGGCAGAGGGCGGGGCCTGCGGGGACTTCGCGGCGGCGCAGGCTCACTGTTTGCAGGGCGGAGTCTGGTCCCGGCTAGGGCGGGCAGACGTTCCGCTGCCTGTACTCCGCCACCGCGCGTTTCCGCCAGACTTAGAGGAAAGCTCGGGGCCGGGGGCCGGGGGGCCGGCGGCGGGCGGAGCTGCGGATGCCACCTCGACGCCGCAGCCCTCCAACCTTGCACCGCCCTTTCCTCTTCCTTTTGGTCCTCCTTCCTGCTGCCGGAAGTACTTTCCTATTTCCCAAAGCCAGAACTGGAAAGGACCTTGCGAGGTCATTTCTACCCCTCCCCACGCTGTCTTCTCCGACATCTTCCCGCTGTCCTTGTTTACTCGTCCAGTCTGGACCCGCCCTCAGAAAGTGAAAAGGAAGTAACAGATTAAAAACAAGGGGCATTTTATTAGAATCTAGGGGTGTCAAAGTTGGGCAGCGACAGAGGGCAGCTTCACGTAGCTCTTCATTGGAGGCAGTGGCCGAATCTTTCGGCCAGCCCAGCCTCCCTTGCGTTGCCATAGCCCACTGTTAGGCCTCTTGCCCAGCCAGCGATTCCGTCCTGCCTTGCCGATGATCCGCTGGTTATGATTAACGTTGGAAACTCGGCCTACAGTTGCAATGCATGTCTCCAGCACCTGACGAGAGAAGCAGATGAGAATGCACCGTGGTGCAGGACAAGAGGCGGGCATAACACTGATGGGAGTACAACTCTGCTTGGTGGCTTCTTACACTCAGTGAGGGATGGGAGAAGACAGAGAAAACACAACAGAGAATACAAGCGGGCCCGGCTCTAACAGGACGGACTGAGTAGTAAAAGAAAAGGACTCCATCCTTTTCTGTTTGTTTCTGAGGTTTTCTTTTGGAGTCAGGGTCTTGGTATCTAGCTCTGGCTGTTCTGGCACTTGCTATGTAGACCAGGCTGGCCCGGAACTCAACAAAATCGATGAGATTATAAACCAGTTCCAACCTGACTGTTTAACCCACATCTATCTTTTCCTGGTTTCCTGAAAAGGTCTCATGCAGGCCAGGTGGCTTGATTCTTTTGACTCAGTCTGGAATGCTGGGATTACAGGCATGTACCACCATGCCCAGTTGGGAAATGGCATTTTGACTTACTGCACTAAGGTGCCAACCTGACAAGGCATGCTTAGTCAGGTGCCAAACTGCACAGACACAGCTGGAGGCAGTTCCTGGCATCTCAGACACGTGGGAGCTGGTGAGGCACATTCCAAAAATTCCTTCTTTGCTGACCCCTCCCACTTGGCCCGCAGATACCTGCATTTGCCTCTTCGAGGGCAGCTGGATAATAGCTGTTCCATTCACCTTCCGAAGCAGCACACCACACGTCCCTAGGGAAGGAGGAAGCAGCTTTACCTCCACAGGGGAGGGAGGTTCCCATGGGGATCTAGGCCACAGGCTGCCCTTTGCCCTTTAGAAGTGCAGGACACACAGAGGACCACACGCTAGGATTTAGGTTAAAACAGCACAGCAGGGCAGCGGTGGCACGTGCTTTTAATCTCAGCACTGGAGAGGCAGGCAAGCGAATCTCTTGTGAGTTCCAGGCCAGTGTGGTCGACAGATTGAGTTTAGGACAGTCTCCAAAGCTACAAAAAAAACCTCAAAACAAAACAAAGCAAAAACAACCAACCAACCAACCAAAACCCCCAAAATACCAAACCAAACTAAACAAAAAACCCAAAGCACATATTCCACATATTCATTCTCTTGTTCCTTGTGGTCCTAAGGGTTTGAAGACAGTGATATCAGGTACCCCCGGAGTCTGGGATGTGGGTAGATTCTTTTCCCATACCTGCAGCTCGGATATACTGTGCTCCTCGGCCAGGCTCACTTTCCACATTGTTGATGAGGGTCCCCACAGGCAATGCCCCAAGAGGATACGCATTGCCCTCCTGAGCTGCCACTGCAAGAGAGAATCTCATTAGCACTAGACCGTCTGCACCTCCACCCCAGGCATCTAGCAGTCATCTCTCACCTGCCATTCTGCCTATGTGGTTAGAGTTCAGGATTGTATCTCCTGCCTTCATGTTTTCTGTGGCAATGATCCAGCGTTTCCGGCTGCCCCCAGCTACCAGGGCTATGTCTGCAGACCTGCTCAGGATGATGGGCAAATAAGTGGACCATCAAGAAGGCCCCTGCTTTCTAAGACGACACCAAATGACAGTTCAGACCACACCACCACCGCCTCACACCCCAAACTTGCCTGCATGGATCGTAGCGGACGACGACAACCTTCTCCTCAAAGGGTTCTGGCTTGCTCTCCTTCTCTGGCCGGAACCGCAGGAAGTCAATCATTCTGTAATTTTGTTTGTGGCCCCCACCAATACCATGTACTCGGATGCGGCCTACAGTCAAGACAGTTCAGGGATGTGATCAGCTTTCAGTATTAACAGGCCTCGTCCAGACTAAACAGTAGTACTCCTCAATATTATATCACAAACAGAAATGACAAAAGGCTGCGTGTAGATCAGTGCTGGAGAGTTTGCCTGTTAGCACCGCGGCCCCATGTTTGACCTACAGCATGTGGGTAGATGGGAGCCACAACATCCTTGCAAAAAGGATGGGGCAGCACATGACTCAATAAAAATGTAATGACTGGAAAAAAAAATATAATGACTGAAACTGTATAAAGTCTTCTCAAGTTGCTGAATTCAGTAAGTTTACTGAGAAGGATATACATTGGACTCACATAATTTCAACTGTTAGGAATTTTGGGAAGGTTAAAACACCATGGCGCCTCCTGGGTAAAACGAGTTCACTGTTTCTATGTGACCTGTTTTTCAGTAATGAACCACATAAGGAGAAGCAAAGCAATGAATACTTTCTGATTGTATGTCTGACATGTTACAAGCTGTAGGGTACTACTATAGACACCCAGGATCCTAGTGCACTTCCCCCCTTTCTCCCACCTGTATGGTCTCGACCCCCAGACTTCCTCATCTTCACAGGTTTGACTGTGTACTTGGTACGACTTTTCCAGGACACAAACTTGGCATTAAGGTCCACAGATGTATGCACCGAGTGCTGAGAGGGCAATGCCACAGCCGAGGGCTGCTGAAGGGCATTGCTCAGCGTCTAGGGATAAAAAACGATCTCTTCAGACAGACCAAGGTTAGCTGTAGGCCACTTCCTCCCAGAAGCATCTCAGACCACTGCCCTTCATCCTCCAACTTTCACAAATATCAGCGCATGTGTTTATCCAGGTGTGTGGGTGTTGAGTGGTAATCATTTGGTTCTCTCCCTCTGAGATATTTCTTCAATGTGATGTTCCCCCTTTCATCATCTTCCAGTCTGTTTCAAGCTTTTGTCAGGAAACCTTTTCTTCCCTAAAGACTTCCCTTCTGCAGAGCTGGTGAATGCCACACACCTATATGCCACCATCAGTACCTCCTGCCCTCTGCATCGTTCCCAGAGTGCCACATATGACTTTGCTTTTCCACCTCCTGTAGTCCCAAGGCTTCAGAGCAGTTTGGTTTAGTTTGCAATATCAAATATACATTTGCCCAATTCTGCTACACTCAGCCTGAGAACTTCAGAAAAGCAAGATCGTAATTCCTTTTCTGTGGTTCACCATGGCCCATTACTATTCCAAACTCTGCATTCTCTAATCTCAGCGACAAGCCATCGTTACATCAGAGTGGTCAAGAGCCCTGGCTTTGGGGTGGGAGTGCGCAGCTTGACTGAGGTCCTAGGTTTAATTCCCAGCACCATGACAAAACGAAAAGCAAGCTCTGAACCCAGTCTAGCCCCAAAAGGTGTATGACCTTAGACTGCTGACCAGTTTTCTCATCTGCAAAATGGGCATAATAGCTTGGCTGACAGGAGCTCGTTCATTGCCGCCGTCTATTTTGCCTGGTTTACAGTAGGCACATGGCGTTACCACTGCTACCTGTGTAGCAGAGACGTGTAAAAGCACTTACAAGCCAGTATCTGGTCTGACGAATCAGCCCTCTAAGAGAGCACACTTAGAAAGAGCACAGGACGAGGCGAGTTTACCCAAGGTCACGTAATCGTGACGTTACCAGGTAAGCTGATTACCTGGGCAGCCGGGAGCAGAGTTGGAGTCCGGGCGGTAATGACCGGGGATGCCAGGCTCAGAGAGCGCAGAGCACTAGTGAGCGCGCACAGGGCCATGGGGAGTCCTCGGAGTCCTCCGGACCCGGCACGCTTATACCTTTATTTAGAGCTTGGCGCTCTTGGATGACATTTCATCTGTCACTGTCGCTTTCAGATGACGCAAGAGGCAGACACCGAATTGGAGCGCCGCGAGAGACACACTTCCTCTCCTCCCCTGACGATCGGGTTCTCAGCCAATTATCGGCGGCCACTGAGGTCGCGTGCTGGAGGCCAGGCCCCGCCCCTCAGAGCCGTCAAAACAATTGCTTCGAGCGGCAGCCATGATGAATTTAAAGGGACAGTAGCCGCCAAGGAGGCAGCCGGACCCACAGACTGCAGGTGAGTCTTCGGGAGTACCCCAGGGGCTGAGCGTTAAGATTCTACCAACTCTTATTTCCGCACTCAGGGACAAATGAATAAACCCCTTCCGACCAACCTCACAAAACTCCAGACTGACTCAAAAACTCCGCCCCCCGCGATTCTTCCCCGCCCCTCGGCGTCCAGACAGACCGCAGGACAGCCTGCCCCGCCCCCGGCGGGACGGCCTGACTCTGTGACCTCGAGCTTGTCCGCTGTTGGGTCTGGGTCAGCGACTGTGCGCTCACCCGTGCCTTCCTCCCCCAAGCCCCTGCCTGTCTCACTCTGTTCGCAACCCGGGGTCCCAGCGCAAGTTAGCAACCTTAAGCAGTCCTGAACCCGGGCCAGGGTAGCCAGCGTTGAGCGCCTCTCCCTGTGACCACACAGTGCTCAGCAGATCTGCTATGCTCTCCTGAACCAGCAGACACTTGAGAGGCATCCTAAGGTACCGGTTAGGTGATCATGACAGACAAAGCCGTGAAGGGAGGCGATTGCAGAAATCCAGGTGGGACTCCTACCCAGGTCTCCCTGCTCAGCCCCTCACAGACACACCCCTGGCCGCAGGTCTCAGATTAAATCAGTCTTTCATTCCCTTATTGGGAGAAACTAACTCCTCGGGCCTGGAATGAGCAGACGGAGTTGAGGAAGACAGGACGTTAGCCCTGGTTTCTGAAGAACCTGTAGGCAGAAGGAGGGAGGGTGTTTGTCCTGGGTGGGGCTCTGTGCCAGGTCCTCTGGGTGGCTGTGAAGTGGCGAGAGAGAAGGGGGTGGGACTGCCGGACTTGTGGACTTTGGGCAGTGCCGAGTTTTCTAAATCTTTAGCTGCAGTTTCGAGTTTCTTCCGGGCTCAGGCCTGGGAACCGCTTGAAGCCAAGGGCTCTGCTCTGTACACAGGTAAGAAGACTTCCGAGATGAGTTTGAGGAAGTAGGAAGACAAGGCTGAATCCTGGGGGTGGCAAGTGAGGCCTGAAGGTTAGTTGGAAAGGAGCTAACCAGGTTGGGAGATGCTGGACTTAACTCCTTTGCTGACGCAGCCTGAAGACCTTCAGCCTTCCAGATCCCCATCGTGAGGACTCTCTTTCCTCCCCCACCTTTCCCATAACCTTGGGTCCTTCCCTTGTATTGGGACACTATTTTCTGCACAGAATTTGCTCTCTTTTTGGTTTTGTTTTTGTTTCGAGACAGGGTTTCTCTGTGTGTCTCTGGCTGGCCTAGAACTCACAGAGAGATCCTCCTGCCTCTGTCTCGTGAGTGCTAGGCATGCCCACCAGTGCCCGGCTGAGATTTTGTTGTCTTTAAGCCCGCTCCTGTAGCAGTTTTCTCGTGTGCCCTCTGTGATCCTCAGAATGCTGTAGACCCCCGCTCCCAGCCCATGCTCTCTCAATTGCTGAGTTGTAAATTCTCTAGCTTGAAGCACACCTGTTTTGTTCTACGGACCTTTAAGTCGTTAACGCCTCGCTCACCGTAGTTTCATGTCCAGTGCTAGAGCGTCCACCCCCCTTACTCGGTCTCTCTCATCAGCTCGGCCATGTTCTTTCCCCTTCGCTTGGATCCCTGACACTCTCTAACCATGTGTCTTTTGTCTTTATCAGCTGAACTCTGTGGTTTCTCCCTAGCCCAGGCAAGACCCCCGCCCCCACCAGGATGTCAGGCCTGGTATTGGGGCAGCGGGATGAGCCTGCAGGACACCGGCTTAGCCAAGAGGAGATCCTGGGCAGTACCAGGTTGGTGAGCCAAGGGCTGGAGGCCCTACGCAGTGAGCACCAGGCTGTGCTGCAGAGCCTGTCCCATACCATTGAGTGTCTGCAGCAGGGAGGCCATGAGGAAGGGCTGGTGCACGAGAAGGCCCGGCAGCTGCGGCGCTCTATGGAGAACATCGAACTGGGACTGAGTGAGGCCCAGGTGAGAGTCACGTGTTCTTCGGCTCACTCCCCTGACGCAAGTTGGGGGTCACCTTGTCATAAAAACTTAGGTTTGTTCGGTCATTAAATGTTTATTAAGTGGCTACTGTGTGCCAGCTCTTCTGCATGCCAGTGACGCAGAACACAGTAGTATAATCCTTTGCCATCTTGGAGCGGATGTTGTAGCTGGGAGAGACAGGTAGGACACAGGTGAATAGGTAAATGATTGATTGTGGTGATTGCTAAGGACAGAAAAATAAAATAAAGGAAAGAAGTAGAGAGAGATGCAGTTTTATGTGGTATGGTCGTAAAAGGCCTTCTCAGAAGGTGACATCTGAGCAGAGATCTGAGGGTGAGGGAACGAGCCGTGGAAGAAAGGGGTCCCAAGCAGGGAGGATAAGTCAGAGGCCTTCCTCTGAGTCTGGTGCTGATGTGACTGTCTCCAGAGTGAAGGGAGACAGCACAGAAAGCGAAGGAGGAGAGGGCTGCCCTTGGAGGTGGGGACAGTTCCTGTGAGCTGTCCTAGACTCTTCGCTTTCCCGTTGAGAGAGATGGGAGTTATGTTCTAAGTGATGGGATTCAACCTGAGCGCCTCTTCCTTCTGACTTGAGAGTAGACAAGGGAATAAGGGCAGAAGCTGGAGACCCAGTGAGAGGTTTTTCTCTAGGTGAGAACTGTGGTTTGGCATCTGATGAAGACAATGGAGGTGGTGGAAATGGGGTTCAGATTATCTTTTTAAATTTAATTCATTTATTTTATGAATACAGGTCTTTTGTCTATATAATTTATGTATATAGATTATGTATGTGCCTGGTGCCCACAGAGGCCAGAAGAGCCCATTGGATCCCCTGGGGCTGGAGAGGTGGTTGTGAGCGATCATGTTGGTGCTGGGAATTGAACCCTACCCCTCTGGAAGAACAACCAGAGTTCGCTCTTAATCACTGAGCCAGCTTTCCAGCCCAATGGTTCTCAACCTGTGGATCTCAATCCCTTTTGGGATCAAACAACCCTTTCATAGGGGTTGTTTCGTATCAGATAAGCTGCATATCAGACATTTACATTCTGATTCATAACAGTATCAAAATTACAGTTATGAAGTAGCAACGAAATAATTTTATGGTTGGGGTCACCACAACACGAGGAACTGTATTAAAGGGCAGCAGCCTTAAGAAGGTTGAGAACCGCCGCTCCAGCCCCTGAGTATCTTTTGATGGTAGAGCTGTGGCTACTCACTCCTGCTTGTTGCTTCCTTGATGCCTCTCCTGGACAGGCCATCGCTCAGAAGGCCACTGTCCCCTGGGTGCTCTTCTCCAAGAGACTGTAGCTCATGTGACATTCCCACCTAGGTGATGCTGGCTCTGGCCAGCCACCTGAGCATGGTGGAGTCGGAGAAGCAGAAGCTGCGGGCTCAAGTCCGGCGGCTGTGCCAGGAGAACCAGTGGCTCCGGGACGAGCTGGCAGGCACTCAGCAGCGGCTGCAGTACAGTGAGCAGGCTGTGGCTCAGCTAGAGGAGGAAAAGAAGCACCTGGAGTTCCTGAGGCAGCTGCGCCAGTACGACGAGGATGGGCACAGCATGGTGAGCACACACAGCTAGGGTTGGCTGGCACCACAGGCAGGGCCCACGGGGATCACCAATGGCTAGCGTGTTCCCACTTGAAGAAATTTTATTTTCAGCTTTGATAGCAGCTCCAGATGACAGCAGGGGGGAAGTAATCTCGACTTGTTCAGTCAACTTTAATTCAATATGTACTCCCCTAGAGAGTTGGGTGGAAGTTCTTGTTCCCCCAGTAAGCAGGATGTGGGGTGAGATAAGTAGCCGGACAACTCAAGCCGGGAATCTATGGCCGGGGAAGGCATAGCCCACTTTAGCAGGGGACTTCCCCTGAGCAGGTGCTTATGGGTACAGAGGAGGAGAGAAAAGCACCTGCCTTCTCAGGCTTCTAGCGTTTGTGCAGAGCTGGGCTCATTCACGAGGATGCGGGTGTGACTGGACAAAGCAGGAGTGCACAGCCTGCATGTGGCCTAGTCGGCACAGAGGGACTTCCACAGAGATAGGTCCCTGAGGGTTGGAACAGTCAGAAGGGTTCAGACAGCAGGGCGGGTTCATGGAAGTGAGTTGTGCTGGATTTTGACAGATCGTGTGGAGAAGAGGAACCTTCTGGGATGGAGGGGGTCACATTTAAGGCTCCAGGGCCAGAGTGCTGTTCTGTCCAGGGACAGTGAGGAGATAATTTGCCTGGGACACACGACAGTCTGATAGGAGGGTTTGAAGGTTCTGTGTAAGGTTGTCATCCCTGATGGAGAAAAATGATGTTTCGTTTTGGAAATGTGTTAGATATCAAGGGCTGGGCCCTAAGCCCACACTGTGCAAAGGGAACCAGGGAGCCCCAGGCTGAGCTAGACTCTGGGTACGTGTCAGTAAGAGCAGACAGACATACTCCTCCTCAGGAGAGACGTATAATCAGTGTAAACGCGGAGGGATTGGCACAGGGCTATAATCACCAGAGGTGCGTGTCGGAGGCAGGGAGGCTGAGAATAAGGGTGCTAGGGAGAGAACTTTCTGGATGAAAAGCAGAGTCATGAAATTTTGTCTAAGATGTCTCTGGCTTTTACATCTAAGACACCTGTGTGTGGCTGGGTCAGTTACTGGTCCTTCCCAGGGGCAGAGGCCTTGTGTGACTTGGTCAGCCATTTTTTTTTCCCAGGGCAGAGGTTGGAACAGAGTCTTTTTGGCTCCCCTGTTGTTGATTTTGTGGCTTAGAAGAACCCCTAAGCCAGGTGATAGTGGTGCATGTCTTTAGTCTCAGCACTCAGGAGGCAGAGGCAGGTGGATCTCTGTGAGTTCAAGGCCAGCCTGGTATATAAGAGCTAGTTTCAGGACAAGGTACAAAGCTACAGAGAAACCCTGTCTCGAAAAACAAAACAGCAGCAACAACAAAAAGGAAGAGGCCACTGTGGCTGGCATGCTGTCCTTTCTCTTCCAGGAGGAGAAGGAAGGAGATGCCACCAAGGATTCCCTGGATGACCTCTTCCCCAACGAGGAGGAGGAAGACTCCAACAACGACTGTGAGTCTGCCTGTGGGACTGCCGGAAGCTGCCTCAAGCTGTAGTCCACTCTGACTAGAGTCTCCACTTCCTCTGGGGACTGGGTGGGTCCCAGGCTAGGACATGAGTTCCCCTCCTTCTTTGTGCCCATCAACATTTAACGTGTCAGGCAATAGCAATTCCAAGACGAAAAAGATGCTGGTTCCATCAGTAAGTTCACAGTCTGTGGAAGATAACCCTAGGCTGGAGCCCCATGGATTCCCCCAGCCTCTCCTATATGCTTTGCTGGGTATTTCTAGCATATGCTTATTGAGTAAATGTTAGCCTAGTGACTTACTGGGAGAATAAATAGGATTGTGACAGGCACAGGTGCAAGCAAGGGTGTGGGCAAAAGGACAGCAGTGGTGGCAGGTCTCCTTTGGGACAAAGGGTGGGCAGAGGGGAAGGCATGTGGTAAAGGGAAAGGAGGAGTCCTCTGAGGAAATGCCCTGTCTTTTCTGCGGTGAGTTAGTGTCCCGTGGCCAGGGTGCTACAGCAGCCCAGCAGGCCGGATATGAGATCCCAGCAAGGCTGCGGACCCTGCACAACCTGGTCATCCAGTATGCAGCTCAAGGACGCTATGAGGTGGCTGTGCCCCTCTGCAAGCAGGCACTAGAGGACCTGGAGCGCACCTCCGGCCGAGGACACCCTGATGTGGCTACTATGCTCAACATCCTGGCTTTGGTGTACCGGTGAGCACTGCTCTCCTCCACTGTCTACAACAGCTCACTTGCTGTCTCCCCTCCTCTCTGCTGGCCTGCCAGAGACACCTTGCAAGGCTGTGTCCCCCACTTTCTCCATCCCAAACCCTTGACCTCAGAGAATACTAATCTCTCAGGCTCTTTGTTTCTCTGGCCTCTCTGAAGGGTGTGTGTATGTGTGTGTGTCTCATTCAGGTTGTTGGCTTTCTCTTGGGACTGTAGTATTCTGCAGCCTGGTGTGTGTTATCAAGCTTATTCCTGCCCCAGCGTGTTCCCTGATTTCAGGGGAGTCCCTAATCTCCTCTCAAAGGACTGCGGGAGGGAAGGAGAGAGCATGGGGACAGTGCATGCTAACACACATTATTTGTGCTACTTTCCAGGGACCAGAATAAGTACAAGGAGGCTGCCCACCTGCTGAACGATGCCCTCAGCATCCGGGAGAGCACCCTGGGCCGGGACCACCCAGCCGTCAGTATTCCTGGTCCACTCACTCTCGTTCATCTCCGTTGTCTGGGTCTCTCAGTCCTTTGTGTGCTGCCCTGGGTCTGCTCACCCCAGCTGCTATAAGGAGGCTCGAGGGCTTCCAGGCTCTGTCCAGCCATCTCAGTGTTTCTCAGTTTTCTGAGACCTAGTCACTCCTTTTGCATTGCTTACGTTTTATAGTAGTGTATAGTAATTGTACAAATAACAGGTTTAATTATGACATTTTCTTAGAAAAAATCATTTTTTTTCTATTTTATAAAATAGAAGAAAAATCTTTTTCTTCTATTTTAATTTTATGTGTATGGGTAGCTTGCCTGCATGTATGTTTGTGCACCATGTGTATATAGTGCCTATGAGGCTAAAGAGGGCATCAGATCCTCCATCTGGGTGCTGGGAATATAATATAGGTCCTTTGGAAGAGCAGGTTGCAGTTAGCCCCCGAGCCATGCTCCAGCCCCTGGTAGTCAGTTCATGCACATATATAAATTACTCTGACCGCATTCATCCTCCCTATTCCCTCTCTTTTCATTCTCCCCTTTTCCTCATGTTTTCTTAGGATGTTAGAGAAGCAGTCTACCACTGAACTTTGACTCAGTATCCCTAGACCTTTGATGCTCTTTTGTTTTTTTTTTTTCAAGATAGGGTTTCTCTGTAGTTTTTAGAGCCTGTCCTAGAACTAGCTCTTGTAGACCAGGCTGGCCTCGAACTCACAGAGATCCACCTGCCTTTGCCTCCCAAGTGCTGGGATTAAAGGCATGCGCCACCACCGCCTGGCAATGCTCTTTTTATGACAATGTTTTTTTCTTGAAATTTAACTTATAACTAATATATCCTACCCATACATAAGATTTCCCCCAAAAGGTAACAGGACTAAAACATAACTCCAGTGAATATAAAAGAGAGAACGGCTTGGCGGTGGTGGTGCATGCTTTATTCCCAGCACTTGGGAGCAAAGATCTCTGTGAGTTCGAGGCCAGCCTGGTCTACAGAGCGAGTTCCAGGACAGGCTCCAGAGCTACACAGAGAAACCCTGTCTGGAAAAAATAAACAACAGCAAAAGAGACAGAATGTAATTAATTGCATAGTACATATAATATGATGTAAAATAAATAGCTGAATATGACTATACTAGAAGATAAAACAAAATAATCTAACGTTGGATTTATCATAGAAGTGCTAAGACAAAAATTGAAAGCCATCTAGGCACGGTGGTACATGCCTTTAATCCCAGCACTTCGGAGGCATAGGCAGGCAGATCTCTGTGAGTTCGAGGCCAGCCTGGTCTACAGAGTGAGTTCCAGAGCAACATAAAGAAACCCTGTCTAAAAAAAACAAAAACAAAAACAAACAAACAAACAAAAAAATTAGAATTTTTTCTTGTTTTGTAAAGAAGGAGTTGGGGGCTGGAGAGGTGGCTCAGCACTTAAGAGAGTGTACTGCTCTTGCAGAGGACTGTAGTTAGTTCCCAGCACCCAGGTCAGGTGGCTCACAGCAATCAGCATCTGCCACCTCTGCCTCTGGTCTCCACTTCATTAAGAGGTGTTTTTTTTTGTTGTTGTTGTTTTTTTTTTGAGATTTATTCTGTCTGCATGTATGCCTGCAGGCCAGAAGAGGGCACCAGATGGTTGTGAGCCGCCATGTACTTGTTGGGAATTGAACTCAGCCCTCTGGAAGAGCAGCCAGTGCTTTCCAGCCCCTCATTAAGAGTTTTTTTTAAAAGGAGAAAGTTCTAGTACTAGCCTTGAGTAGGGACAGAATGCCAGCATTTGGCGGGTTGTCATGGTTGAGAAAGCGAGCAGTAACGTCTCTGGAGATGAGGTGACCTTGTGAGAGCAGTCCCTGAGATGTAACATTAGTTAGACAGGGCTGCTGCATCTCAGCTGCACTGGGATCTTGACCCCCTTCCCAGTGATAGCAGTGTTTCTGCGCGCGCACACACTCACACACGTGCGCGCGCACACTCACACAATGCACATTCACACTCACGCGCGCACACACTCACACACAATGCACACTTACACACGTGCATGCGCACACACTCACACACATGCACACTCACACACGTACACACACATGCACACTCACACACGCATGCACACACATGCACACTCACACAGTGCGTGCGCACACTCACATGCATACTCACACGCGCGCACACACACAATGCACACTCACACACGCGCGCACACACACTCACACACACACTATCCACAGCTTTCCTGCCTCCCTTTGTGGATAGCACTGAAATGCTGCCAGAAACCACCTTTATAAATTTTTAGAAATTCCTCTAGAGGGCGATACCCTCACCCTCAAAGAGTTCCAGCCATTCTGTAGTTTCCCCTTTTCTAGCCTCTGGCTCTGGTAGTTGACTGTGTCCTTTTTAGAGAGCATGAACACAGTCCAGAGGTCAGAGGACAACCAAGTTCTTAGAGTTGGTTCCCTCCTTTCTCTGTGAATTTAGGTCTGCAGGCTTGACAGCAAGCATTTTCCTTGCTGAGCAATCTCACCAATATGGAGTCTGTATCTCTTGTTGCCTTGGACTCTGCTGTGCATGGAGAAAACTGGAGATTCATTTGCAACACTGGTGTGTGATGGGGCTTGCTTTCCTTTGCAGGTGGCTGCCACCCTCAACAATCTGGCTGTGCTGTATGGCAAAAGGGGTAAATACAAGGAGGCAGAGCCATTGTGCCAGCGGGCACTGGAGATCCGAGAAAAGGTGCCACACTCATCCTCCCCCTCCCCTGTCCGCTACTGACTTTCCTTCTTCCTTTTTTTCCTTCTGCTCCTCATGTGCACACACACATAATCATAGTCGCTTGTCTGTTCTTTTGCTCGATCTCAGGTCTTGGGCACTGACCACCCAGATGTGGCAAAGCAGCTAAACAACTTGGCCCTCCTGTGTCAAAACCAGGGCAAGTACGAGGCAGTGGAACGCTATTACCAGAGGGCGCTAGCTATCTATGAGAGCCAGCTAGGGCCTGACAACCCTAATGTAGCTCGGACCAAGAACAACCTGGTAAGGAAGGAAGGGACAGGTGGGTGGGGACAGACGGGGAGGAAAAGGACTCCCACGTGGGTTCTGGACTCAGAAAACATCAGAATGAGGCAATGCCTTTGCCAACTTCATGCCTATCTCCAGGGCTGCCTTTCAGGACCAGAGGTTCCCGGTCATACTGGGAGTTGGGTGGGAATAACGTTAACCCTCAGCTATAACAGATTGAATAAGGAGGGTCTCAGGGACAGACACCAAGAGGTAGAACTCCCTGAGTCTGGCTGAGACCTGCTTCCTTCTGCCTCTTGCTCCTATGTGTCTGTTCTGTCTCTAGGCGTCCTGTTACCTAAAGCAGGGCAAGTACTCAGAGGCTGAGACTCTGTACAAAGAGATCCTGACCCGTGCCCACGTGCAGGAGTTTGGATCTGTGGATGGTGAGTGGTAAGGTCTGGGAAGGGGACCACACATAGATTGATAGGGACAGCTCCAATGCCTGTGGGTTCTGACTCCCCACATAGTCCCCAAATCTGTTATCTTACCTCCTCACTCAGTATATCATCCACAGATGACCACAAGCCTATCTGGATGCATGCTGAGGAGCGGGAGGAAATGAGCAAAGTGAGTAGGGGATCCAGCCCGCACTACCACCTCTGGCTCGGTCCTTGTTAGTTTAGCAACTCCCTTCTTGCCCCGGCCCTCAGTGTACAGTGCCTTTCCCAACCCAGTCTGCATCTTAGCCCTGTGCTCTCCTTTTCCCAGCATCTCTGTACTTTATCCCCAGAGACGGCACCGGGAGAGTGGCATACCCTATGCGGAGTATGGAGGGTGGTACAAGGCCTGCAAAGTAAGCAGGTGAGCTGCTGGAGAGATTGTAGTCTCTGCTCCTTCTCTGTCCAGGCTCCTGATGCCAGTACCTGCTTCCCTTCGACTGTCTCTCAGCCTTTCCCCTGCCCCCTCCCCTGGCCTCTTCTGTTCTCTTGTTTTTGTGGTGCTAAGGGTTTCTGCAGAGCCTGCATATGCTTGCCAAGTGTTCCGCTGTTGGGCCACATTCTCACTCCACCTCTGAATCATTCTCCCTGCCTTCTCCGATCTCCCTGCAGCCCCACAGTGAACACTACTCTAAGAAACCTAGGGGCTCTGTACAGGCGCCAAGGAAAGCTGGAGGCGGCTGAGACCTTGGAGGAATGTGCCCTGCGTTCCCGGAAACAGGTCAGAAGCTCACAGCACAGGGCAGTGGTGCCTCTCTGTGATCTTGGCACTTGGGAGGCTGAAGCAGGAGGGAGTTCCAGACTAGCCATGGTTACTTAGTAAGATCCTGTATCAGGAATGGATAACTCAGCAATTGCCAGCACTTGCTGCTGTTGCACAGGACCCAGGTTCAGTTCCTAGCACCCACATCAAGCAGCTCACAACTGCTTGTTACTCAAATTCCACAGGATTCAATGCCATCTTCTGACCTCCATGGGTATCAGCATGCATGTGACTCACATACATTACTCAGGCAGACACATATACACATAAGATGAATAAATCTTTTTTTTCTTTTTAAATGTTTACTTATTTATTTATTATGTATACAATATTCTGTCTGTGTGTATGTCTGCAGGCCAGAAGAGGGCACCAGACCTCATTACAGATGGTTGTGAGCCACCATGTGGTTGCTGGGAATTGAACTCAGGACCTTTGGAAGAGCAGGCAATGCTCTTAACCACTGAGCCATCTCTCCAGCCCTAAATCTTTTTTTTTCCCCACCCTGAGATAGGGTTTCTCTGTGTAGCCCTGGTTATCCTGGAACTCACTCTGTAGACCAGGCTGGCCTTGAACTCAGATCCCCCTGCCTCTGCCTCCAGAGTGCTGGGATTAAAGGCTTGTACCACCACACCCAACCAGTAAATAAATCTGAGAGCGAGCGAGAGAGAGAGAGCGAGAGTGAGTGCTGTCTCAAATGTGAGTGCTGTCTCAAACAGAAATGACAGTCCAGAGTGGGAACACCAAGAAGGAAGGGCCAGGGCACTAGGGACTGCTGGGGTTTCTCATGCACGAGGAACTGCTGGGGTTTCTCGTGCGTGTGCTGAAGAGGGTGAGGCGGTATTGTGACTGTAGTGGTTTTAAAAGAATTTTATCATCATCATCATTACATATAGTGTTCTGCCTGCATGTGTGCCTGTACCCAGAAGAGGGCACCAGATCTCATTACAGATGGTTGTGAGCCACCATGTGGTTGCTGGGAATTGAACTCAGGACCTCTGGAAGAGCAGCCAGTGCTCTAACCTGTGAGCCATCTCTCCAGCCCCAGCTGTGGTGGTTTTTAAGAATGTTTTCACTCCAAACTTGTCGTTCTTGTCATGGCACAGATTCAGATTCCTTTCACAGTTGGTATGGTAGCTCATGCCTGAATTTCTGGTATTCAGGAGGCCGAGGCAGAATTATTACTGTGAGTTTGAGGCTAGCCTGGGCTACATGATGAGTTCTAGGCTAACTTCAGTTACAGAGTTTCAGCCTTGTTTCAAAAACAGAACAGAGCTGGTAAGCTGGCTTGGTGGGAAAAGGAGCTTCTATGTAGTCCTGAGAAGCTGAGTTCAACCCCTCTGTAAAAGTGGAAGGAGGGGCGTTACTCCAAACACTCAAGCTGTGGCAATGTGTATGTCTCTTTCCCATCATGCACAATAATGATGAAATCGAGTGGGGTGAGTAGTGTGGGAAGACAACCAGGAAGACCTAAGTTGGGAGGCAGAGACAAGAGGATCCTTGGGGTTTGCTGGCTAGCCAGTCCAGCCAAATTGGCGAACTCTAAGTATAGTGAGAGCTCGTCTCAAAGAAGACAGTGTGAAGAGCAATCGGGAGGACAGTCGCTGCTCCCTACAACAACGCATTCAAATACACACAACAGAAAACAGAACAATGCAAACTGGACTCACCTCACTAGGTGAAACTGTAGAAGGGCAGCTTTCCCTTCCACAGGCCGATGAGGTTGAGGATTTCTCGGTTGCAGATCTCAACTGACTTAGTAAGTCGTCCATTCACTCTGGGACACAGCTACACGAAGCCTGTGTTAGGATGCACTAGCCACACAAAGCATGTCCTGCCTGTGTTTGTGTCAGGGCCATCATAAGGAGGGAAATGCTGTCCTTGCAGTACCTGATAGAAGAAAGATCAAAAGCCCATCCTGAGATTTAAGGAATATGAAGTTCTTTCCTTCTGTTTTTTTTCCTTTAAAGATTTTAGTATGTTGTGTGTGTGTAATTTGCCTGCATGTGTGTCTGTATGCCAAATGCATGCAGTGCTCACAGAGGTCAGAAGAGGGCACTGGATCCCTGGCTCTAGAGTTACTGGCATTGTGAGCTGCCATGTGGGTACTGGGAACGTAACCTGTGTTCTGGAAGAGCAGCTGGTGCTTTTATGGCTGAGCCATCTTCTAGCATCTCCTCCTCTTCCAGGGTACTGACCCCATCAGTCAGACCAAGGTGGCAGAGCTGCTTGGGGAAGGCGATAGTAGAAGGACCTCCCAGGAGGGCCCTAGGGACAGTGTGAAATTCGAGGGAGGTGAAGATGCATCAGTGGCTGTCGAGTGGTCAGGGGTAAGTCTGCTCATTGCCACTGCCCAGCCTTTTCCCTTCTTGCTGGGCACTGAGAAGCTCCGAGGCTTCTTTCTCCAAGTTCATACAGGGTATTAATCGTATTATCTCCACCAATTAGCTCATCCTTTTAGGTCTGTCCCTGGGAATCTGCTTTTGAGGGGGCTCTTGTTTTCAGTCACTGGGCCTCAGGGACGGGGGCAGGTGCAGAATAGATGGCAGGAGTAGACTTGGAAGCCAGGCTACATGGAACCCCATTTGCTCCTACTGCCAATCTCTGCTAGGATGGCAGTGGCGCCCTGCAGAGGAGCGGCTCTCTGGGAAAGATTCGGGATGTGCTTCGTAGAAGCAGCGAACTCCTGGTGAGGAAGCTCCAAGGGACTGAGCCTCGGCCATCCAGGTAAGTGACAAGCTTAAGCAAAGCATCCTCAAGTCGGTGGCTGCAGCTCCCCTTGGTGCTGGAGCAATGTCCTAGACGTGTCCTACACGGAGGGACAGTGGACTGGCCTCAGTTCTCTCATTCTCTCCTGTAGCAGCAACATGAAGCGGGCAGCCTCGCTGAACTACCTGAATCAACCCAGTGCAGCCCCACTCCAGGTGAGCAAAGGGCTCCAGAAAGCAGCTCCAGGGCAGCAGGAAGGGGAAAGGGTTATCTATGAGGAAATTGGCCTAGGAGACCAGAGCCCTTCAGGAGCCCAGCTGATGGGGTGGTAATGGAGGTGCTGGGCATAGGGGGGCAGTCTCAGATGCTGGGCACTGGTGGCACATGCCTCTAATCCCAGCACTCAGGAAGCAGAGGCAGGCAGATCTCTCTGAGTTCAAGGCCAGCCTGGTCTCAGAGGGAGCTCCAGGTTAGCCAGGTCTACTGCATAGAGAAGCTCTGTCTCTAAAAAGAGAGAGCGAATGAGAGAGAGAGAGAGAGAGAGAGAGAGTGTTAGTGCTAGACAGTAGCAAGTTAATCAGGAGAGGACCTCCAAACTGGTAAGGAATTAAAACAGAGCAACAGAAAAGGTATTAAATCTCTTTGAGGAAACAGCAATGCTATTTTCAACGCAGCAGCCTCTTGTATCGGCTCATTCACAGTACAAGCCAGTGCTCCTGGGTGGAGGTGAGGCGGCCCAGCCCAGGTCCAGAGAGGCCAAGGACAGCTATGGGCCAGGCAGGCTCCAGGAGCTCCCTGTGCTCATGGGGTGGCTGGTCTTATCTGTTTCAGGGTTCCCGGGGCCTCAGTGCCAGCACGATGGACCTTTCTTCAAGCAGCTGACATTCAAACAACCCCCATGCTCCCCTCAGCCCTCACAGCAATCCCCCACTGCTCCTGTCCCTTCCCCAACCCAAATGGGAAGGTGAAGAAGGAGCAGTTTAACCGGAAGATTGCTGCCTCCAGAGTCTAGGCTCCTTCCTCAGGAATGCCCCTTTGGAAGGGACTCAGGTTATGTTCTCTACTTTGGAGTCCTCTAGAGTAGCTCACTGAGGCTCCAAGGTGGGTGAAAGGCAGGTATGCACCTCCAGGGTGTGCCTGCTGCTGGTTTTTCTGTCAGAGGGTTTGGGGCTGGCTTCTTTCATCCCCTGCCCTCTGCTGCCTCACTTCAGGTCCATGTATTTCACGATGTTTCTGTAATAAAAGAATCAGGTAACCTTTTGCTGCTCGAGTCTTGATTGAAGAATGGGTGTGTTGGGACCCTTGACAGGGTGAGGGCAATGGTACATGGGACAGCAGGATTGTGAATCCTTGGCTTTTTCCTGTTTTCCTCCCTGTGTTTGTACCCTCTTTAGTGGGGCCTGGAGGAAGGCATCTGGGGGATGGGGAAGGAGGCCTACAAGGAGAAGGTGCTGTGGACTGGGTTGTCAGGGACATGTGGTGGCCATGTGGCAGGACCCTGGAGTCCTGGCGCCACTTCTCCTGCCTGTGAGGCCCTCTGTGGCTTCCTTCCCTCCTCCCAGCTGCTTGGGGGAAGGGATGTCTAAGCAGGCCTGGGGGGCCCTCCAGAGCCAGAAGGGGGACAAGGCACTACCCATCCCCTCTTGCATATCCTGGAGGCCTGTCAGCAGCTGGGGCCCATCTTCTAAAGCTTGACTTCTCCTGACCCGCCTCCCACACCCCTTGCTGCTTTCACAACAAAGAAAGAATGTGGGGGTGGTGGCGCTGGGGGTGGAGGGTGCCTGGAACAAGGGCTGTGTTGGGCCTCCCCACAGCTGGAGATTTGGCCATGCCCTGACACAGCCCAGACTGCCTGGAGATGGACTTGGGATGAATGTCTGCCTAATAGCCTTCACTGGCGCCCAGAGTCCAGTATTTCTACCTTGGGTTCAGATTCGGCCAGCACCAAAGCTAACTCCAGTCACGCCCCCTCCCCCTCTCTCTAGCTACATCTGTTCCGCAGGGCACCACAGTTATGCCCTCGTTGTCTTCTTTGTGGCCGCCTGTGACACCATGCTGGTCTGCATCCCAGCTCTTTGGGTAGCTTGTCTCCACCAACTTGGAGAATACGGGGCATATACTTTTGGTCTAGACCTACACGTAGGTCCATAGTGACCATCTTTCCTAAGGATGATCACAGAAAGAGAGTCACTTTGGTTCTCCTGCGTCCCGGTGGACAAACCAGGCGGTGGGCACAACATCCGCGTCTCTGGCACTCCCCTGGGACCGCCACTGTCCCCCGTCCCTCTCCTGCTCCTTCCCTCAATGGCCAGCTCCTCCCCTCGACGGCGAGGAGGGGGGCGTTAGGGGGCGGGGCGCCGTGCGGGCGGAGGGGAGGGGGCGTCGGGGGCGTGGCTTGGCGGCCGCGGTGGCGCGCGAGGGCTCGGAGGTACGGGGCGCGCGCGGCTCCAGCTCGGGACGCCTCGGGCTCGGGCTGCGGCTGCTGCAGCGGCCCCCGCGCTCCGGTCTGCGCTCCCGCTCGTCCGTGCGCCTTGAATCTCGCTGCTCCCCTGCCGCCCGCCACGATGGGAGCCCGCCCGCGACCTCTGCTCAGTACTCTGCTGTTGCCGCTGCTGGCCGGTGAGTCTCCCGAGAACCAGGGGTACCGAGCTAGGCTTTGAGAAGCGCGGTAGTCCCGGGAGCTGGAAGGGCCCTGGAGAGGTGGGCTGGGCGATTGGGACAGTGGAGAGGCTCGCTGGGAGTTTGGGGATCAGGGGTTGGCGACGCCCCCGTGCGCGCGCGGTGCCCTGGGGCGCGGGGACGCGTTTGCTGCGAGTTCTCCCGGCCGGTCCGCCCGCCCGATCCGAGAGTTTGCTCGAGCGTTGTCCGGAGTCGCCAGCTCCCGAGCCCTGCTGGGGAGCTCCTTTTTGGGGAACAGCGCCCTCCCATCCCGTGAGAGGGTGCCGACACCCTGGGAGGGTCCCGGGCCTTGGAGCCCAGGTGAGGGAGACCGGCCTGGGTCCCAATCCCGACCGACTTGACCTAGGGCGCGCCTGGCGCGGAGCTTTGTTACCTATACCGGCCTGATGCGCCTGGCTCCCTCCCGTAAAGTTCCGGGGCAAAGCTGGAACCCCAGATGGCCTGCCCGTGAGGGCAGGTTAGACTGAGGGGTGCCTCATCTCCTCCAACTAGGCCCGAGCCTTGAGCCCACTCGGTGCCAGGGTCGTATCCCGGGAGCGGAGGGTCCCAGGCTGTAGTAGTGACTAATGTGTTGAAGGCCTCTGCCAAAATCGGGCATGGCCGGCTTGCCAAGGTGCGGACGGGCTTTGCTCTGCTGTTTCCTGGATTTCCATCCTGCCGGTGCTCTGGGAGGAAAGAAATATCTGTCTTCCTAAGGGCAGAAAGGCAGAAAAGCTCAACTCTGGCTTTTAGTGGAGGGCCTATGCACTTTGATGAGGGTGTGGCCCACGTCTCCAGGGCAAACAAGGGGCACCACATCCTGCAGATTATTAGTTCCCGGCTGATCACACCTGAAAGTCAGTCACCACTAAAGATGTTGGAAGTGATTTAACCGGAAATCGCCACGCTACTCAAATAACGTATTCTGCTGGTCCCAGTCAGCAAGGACCAAAAGACGGCTCCTCACCTTACGAGACAACAACTCCTTCTGTGGTGTTCCGCCAAACAGCCCTCTTTAGGGGGACATTCTGCCCATTCTGTCTTAGGTGATCACTTAACCATTCCTTTAAAGAGTGCCAGTCTGGCGGGCAGGGGCAGGGAATTGTCTGCTGTCATCTCCCTGACCAGCTGTTGAGGGTTTAGGGGCCAGAGAATTAAAGTCTCTCCCACTCTAGTTATTAAAAAAAAAGAGGTAAGCAGAGTCCAGAAAGAACCCGTCCTGGGAATTCCTAGCTGGTATATGTGTGGTAGTTACTGCTCATGGCGAAGTCCCACATCTGCTCCTGGAGGAAGTGTGGAAGTTTTTTTTTTTTTTCTTTTAAACACAGCCAGGATGAGGGTGCAGCCATATGGGCAAGCAGCCCCAGCTCACAGGCCTCCTGGGCTGCCTGGTGGGTTTTGCCTGCTGGCTGTGCCTGTCTTTGCTCCTGTGGTTCATCTTTATGAAGTCTGATGGAGATGGGGCCCTGGCCACACCAGTTGCTGAATTTCTTCTGTGAGGACTCTGAACTTCAGCGATGGGTGTCCTGGGGAGGGGGTGTGTGAGCCGGAAGTTGGACCAGAGGGAGTTGGGAGTATCTTGTGCTCTGCAAAGAAACATTTTAATGAGAGCCTTAAATCAGTTCTAGCAAACGTGCCTTGGTGTGGAACCTGTCCCTGTGCTGTGGCGCCTGCTGTTCTGGGGAAGTCCAGGAGCTCTACCCACCCCAGATGCATGTCTTCAGGGGGCAAGGATTTCTTTACTAGATCACAGCACGTTTTTCCTTCTTGTTTAACAGTGTCATTAACTGAAGTTGTAGGCAGACCTCGATGTTAATAAGGCTGGGGCTAGGGACCTAGCCTGGTCGGATTTGTGGATTAAACCATTTTGAAGTTTGGGTAATGAAGCTGTAAATGTCTGAGTTTCTTTCCAAACCTTGAGATCCCTGGTGTGATAAATACCCGGTGGAGGAAGAGAAGGCTTAAGGTTTGGAACTAGAGCCGGGCGGTGGTGGCGCACGCCTTTAATCCCAGCACTCGGGAGGCAGAGGCAGGCGGATCTCTGTGAGTTCGAGACCAGCCTGGTCTACAAGAGCTAGTTCCAGGACAGGCTCCAAAACCACAGAGAAACCCTGTCTCGAAAAACCAAAAAAAAAAAAAAGAAAAAGGTTTGGAACTAGAATCCCCCCTCCACGCCCGCAACTGCCATTTTTGAAGACAGAGTCTTTTTATATGCTCTCAGACTGGCCCTAGACTCCTTGTGCAACCCTCTCTGGATTCTCCCGCCTCAGCCTCCTGAATGGTGAGACTAGAGAATAGGAGGTCCACACCTGGCCAAACCCGGGATTCTTTTCTGTGTTGTTGTTAAATTATTTGTTACATTTATTTGTGTGTATATGTGCTCACGTGGTTACATATGTCACGGCGTGCTTGTGGAGGTCAGAAGACTGGAATCTGTTCTTTCCTTTCACTATGTGGGTTCCAGGGACGACACCCAGTCTGTCATGCTTGGTGGCAGGTACCTCTCCCTGTTAACCCACCTTTGGCCGGATATAATTTGTACCTGCTCCTCTTTCCTGTCCTGGTCCTTGGATCTCCAGGCTTTTGCATCTCTGGAAACTGAATCCTCACTTTCTGGGATCTGCTGTTCTAAGGACTGGATTCTCAACATGCTGCAGCCTGTAATTCAGACCTAGTACTTGCCTCTATCAGTGGTGGCTTTAGCAATGGGAGGACGAGGCTAACCCTTCACATCTCTCGTGTGTGTGTGTGTGTGTGTGTGTGTGTGTGTGTGTGATCAGAGCAGCAGTGACTCACGGCAGAGCTCATACTATGATGCTCCTGTGATCTAGACAAGTTTCTTTTTCTCTTCACTTTTTTTAATTTTGGTTTCAAGACAGGGTTTCTCTTTGTAGCTCTGGCTGTCCTGGAACTTGCTTTTTTTCTTTTCTAATTAATTTTTTTTTCATTTATTTTACATACCGACTACACTTTCCCCTCTTTTCCTCCCATTCCCTGCCCCTGGAACAAGCCTCTGCCTCCTGAGTGCTGGGATTGAAGGTGTGTGCATGCGCCACCACCGCCCCTGTATCTCCATCTTTACAGTCATCTTCAACAATAAACAACCAACAGCTGGCCTGTTTGCCATCTCCTAAAACATCCTGTGTTCTCCACTCGAGGCCTGCACTCTTGTGTGTGGCTTGCCTCCGCCCACCTCTGCAGCTCCCGAGATCCCCAGAGTCTCCTGGAACCCGTCCTGGCCTGGGCCTTGCTGTGTAGCTAGGGATGCCCTCCTGCCTGTTGAATTACAGGTGTGCCACCGTGCCCGGTTTTATTCAGTACGGGGGTTGAAATCAAGGACTCACAGCATACTAGGCAAGCAGTCTGCTGACTGAGCTCCCATAGGCTCTCATCCTTACACGATAGCGTCTGTATTTTCGTCCCAGCTGCATTTCCCCTTGTAGAACTCCTTTAGCTCAGAATCTTATTTATGGTGGGTCCTTACCCAGGCCCATTAGAAAAGGGAAGGAAAGGGGAATGAAGGTCTGTGTGTCCAGTCCAGCCCCCCTGGGGTTGATCTGCTCCATCACAGCGCAGTCAAGGGGCCAGACTCTCTTTCCCTG